AGTTTTAAGAATCGATAATGGCCATTTTAAAAGTGTAACATACAATAAGTTTATACATTATAGGAAATAAAGGCAAGTCAATATACAGAAAGGCGATCAGTCAATATACAGAATGTACGTGGTTACATTAATCATTAACTTATCTTTGCGCTCAGCCAAAACACGTTACCTGAGAACAAGTAATAGATTCCAATGCCCAAAGTCAGGGAATACGTCGTTAGATAAAGACAACAAGATAAATGAAATATACCGTTTAATAAATATAGTGAGATTAGATCCAGCGGGAGATGCTTGATGAGAAGTCCGACTAGCAGAGCTCTCATCTGGGTAGATGGGCTGAGTGTGATTAAATGTTGAATGTGATGAGTTTTCAACAATACTAAATTGAAACTTTATTTTTTTTACATGGTTTAATAATTTTTTGTTATTAAAATTGAAGTTCCTGTTTCAAAGCTTACAGATAGATGACTAATTTGTATGTCATTGACACTTTTGGCACTTTTTTGGAGTATTTTCATAAGTTTTGTTTTTTCCTGTAAATGATTCAATAAATACCGTACCGTGACATTCATACCGAGGTATTACCGTACCGTGAAATTCTGATACCGTTACATCCCTAATATATATATATATATATATATATATATATATATATATATATATATATATATATATATATATATATATATATATATATATTTCCCCTGTTCTTGCACAAAACTTCTTGCACGCCCTCAAACATATGCCGCTCAAGCATAGATTTTCTTCTGTGCTCTCAAATAAATGCTGCTGAAGTGCTGTTTATTGCATTTATGTAACTAATGTAATATGTAACTTTATGTGTCTAGGATTATTTATGAATGTCACCAATAGACCTACAGAATGCCAATGATGCATCCTAAAGTAAAGTGAAACAGCTATAAACTCCAGCAAGATAAAGTCACTGTATGAAGAGCCATAGACCTTTATCTAGAAAAAAAAGTATAATTACGGAAAATTTGTTTATCTTAACTGAAAATGATTTTGTGTTTGCTGGCCTCATGCATTGGGCAGCCATGTCAGTCAGCCTAAAGGGTTAAATAAATAACGCACAGCACTACTACGATTACAGAAAAGTTTGATTTGTTATAATTCACTTACCTTTTAATGCATTTAGGTGCGATTATAACTCGTTATGAAAAAAAAAAAAACTACTGAATGTTTTGAATAAAAAGGTGTTTTAATGTAGCCGTAGCTGGAATGAATTTTGGTGTGGCACCCGCCATGGAATAATGAATGTGCCAGAAACCATGTACTCTTACAAAGGGACTAAAACAACAATAATAATAATTTTAATAATTTTACACAGACTTTAAATCAGCTTCAAGACAGCCTGATGTAAAAGTTATTGTTTTAATAGCACCTTGTTAAAACTTGGGACTTTAAATTGATGGTTTGACTTTAATGGAGTAAATTCATGATTCGAAATATGACTAGAGTTCGAAATGACATTTAGCCTGCTTTGTGAGGTTGTTGTGATACAAAGGATCCTATCATTTTTCAAGAAGCTGTCCGGCTATCTTTAAGCAGATGTGAATCTGGTTACTGACTTTGTTCAGTTTCAGACACTCATATGCCATACAGAAATACAATACTGTAGGTTACTCGTATGTACAGGCATTAAAAACCATCTTTTTTGATGCTCTAAAACATCTAAGACGATAGAAAAATTCTGTTTTATCTTTTTACACAATCTATCAAAATGACATTTCCGCAAAACCTTGTTGTCAAGTATTACTTATATTTGTCTACTTGACTAATGTTTGCATTAAATATAACTACATGGTTTGCACATTATGTTTGCATTAAGTATATCTACCGTTTTTTTTTTTTCTAGATAAAGTCTCAAAATTGCTATACATGCATGCCTTTGTAACATCTCAGCTTGATAATTGTAACCCAATGTAAATAGTTTCCAGTCTTCAGCTGGTTTAGAATGCAGATGCCAGACTGGTTGGAGGGAAGCAAAAATATGACCATAAAAACATAGTTCAATGCTCTACACTGGCTCCCAGCCAATTATGGGATTGATTTTTAAAACACATTATTTGTCTACAAGCCCTCAATAACCTGGCACCTCAATACTTAACTGATTTATTGCTTCCGTATACCTCTTCTAGAAACCTGAGATCTTGTGACCTTGGTCTATTCCAGGCATGTCTAAGCTCGGTTCTGGATGGCCTGTGTCCTGCAAAGTTTAGTTCCAACCCCAATCAGACACACCTGGGCTAGCTAATCAAGCTCTTACTTGGCTTTCTAGAAACATTCTTGCAGGTGTGTTGAGGCAAGTTGGAGGTAAAATCTGCACCTACCCTACAGGACACCCTGGCCTATTCATATAGTTCCCAGAGTTAAACCTAAAGAAAAAATAAATAAATAAAATAAAACCGCAGTGATTGCATCTTTGCTGCTCTAGGGCCAGTACTTTTCAAACACCTTCCTCTTGCCCATCTACTAGTTTTAACATTTAATTTAAGACATATTTTCTTCCACCCTGGATTTAAGCACTCCTTAGTACAGTGGTCACCAAAATTGTTCTTGGAGGGCCGGTGTCCTGCAGATTTTATCTCCAACCCTAATCAAATGCACCTGAACAAGCTAATCAAGGTCTTACAAGGTATACTTGAAACATCCAGGCAGGTGTGTTGAGTCAAGATGGAGCTAAACCCTGCAGGGACACCGGCCCTCCAGGAGCAGGATTGGTGACCCCTGCCTTAGTATGTCATCCTGAGTTTCCTGCTGTATTTTTTTAATCTTTTTTTGTTTATTTTTACTTTGTCAAGTATTTTAGTCAACATTGGTTGTATTAAATGTGCTCTGGAAATAAACAGTGTCGTTGTATTAACTTCTTTATATAACATTTTTAATAATAAATATAATTACAGAGTGCAATTTTATACTGTGATACTAATTGATCTCATCCAAATCACAGCTTTTATCTCTTAAAAACATTTTCTGATATACTGAGGCAAAAAACTTAGTCACAGCTTGCCATCTAGTGGCTAAAAAGTGTATCTCACAAATCTGTTATAGAAAAAGCAGAGCAGTACAAAATATTTCCTCATACTCAAATACATTACAGAACAAATACATTAAGCTCCTTCCATGCAACGATAGTGGGCCTACAAAAGTGGCTGTCGTGGGTCCAAAAAGGACACACAAAAAATAAAAGTAAGCTATATTACCCTCTCTGTCTGATCTAACTTATCTATAGAACAATTTCTCTACACACTATAAATGTTTAAACTTACGCACGATGGTGTCTTTCCAGTAACGTTATAGCTGAAGGGCATCGTCTTCAGCCATTCAGCTTGGATGTAGTAGTCTGGATGTAGTCTTCCTCTGAAAAAAAAAACGCACTGTACTAAAACCAAACTCATATAATGATCTGAAAACTTTATACGATTTATATTGATTGACATGCACTATATTAATATTTAAATACAGTTTATATGTGATTGATATGCTTGATAACATAACTTACAGCATTAACGTTAACTAACCCAAACTTAAAAATTACTTTAGATTAAAATCATACACGTTTCATGCAAAATTTAGTGTGAAAAGGATTTTTACCTGGTAATCTTCACCAATGGACACCGTATCCAGCCTTTAAAAATGCTTTTAAAACCATTTAAATGCAAATAAGGTTAACTGATGCTAATAGTTAGCCGTCACTCGCACGTGTGACCTGTAAGTTATACAAGTTGACTTACTAACTTTTCCTTAGCTGTTACAGTTTAGTTGTACTCTAAATTGGTTATTGTTTCGGAGCACAACGACGCACAATTTATGATATGTCGTGTTAAAATTTTGTTTCTGCAACCGCTAACGTTAATCCCTTTTCCAAAAACTGTTTGAACGACTTTTTCAGACAAACGTTAGCAAATGACAGCGAACAGCCAATCGCATGATAGAGGCTGAGCGATTACTTCCTTTATTTTTTTTGTCAAAGATCGTTTTGAAAAGCACAATAAACACATGCGCATTAATATGTTGTGTAGTATTAAAATTAATTTATTTTGTCGAAGTTGCAAGAGTTTCTATTCTGTGATCTGATTAAAACCTGGAGCATAAGACATATTGTACATATAGCTATCTTTACAAGATTCATATTAATAAACAAAATAATATGATATACTAATACAATATTTTTTTTGAAAATTGCCTGTCGAGATGAAAACGATGCAACGTTTTAAAAATTGTCTGTTTGTTTTTTAGTAAGGACTATGACTAATTTGCCAACATATCATATATTCAACAGACATATATTTTACACAGACCTTCAGGTCCAAGACAGCCTGATGTACAAATTAATGTTTTAATATCACTTTGTTAAAATTTGGGGCTTTAACTGTTGAATTTTTAAGGGTGTAAATCCATGATCAGACACATGACTGGAGTTCCTAGCCTGCCTTGTGCAGTTCTTGTAATACAAAAGGTAATGCCATTTTTCAATATGCTGTTCGACTATCTTTGAGCAGATTTGAATCCGGTTCATCAACTTAGTTTTTAATTTACCAGACAGATATATGCCATACAGAACTACAATACTTCAGGACACTCATACGTACAGGCATTTTAAACAGGCCAAGAATCTTTTTCAATGCTCTGAAACATCTAAGACGACACAGAAAATAAAGTCTCTCTTTTATCTTGTTACACAAACTATCACTATGGCCATTCCATGAAATTTTGTTGTCCATACTTATATTTGTCTCCTTGTTTGATGTTTATTATGTATAACTGCAGGATTTCTATTTAGATAAAGTCCCGAAACTGCTATCCATGCTTTCATAACATCTCAGCTCCATTTTCTTTCCTGTCAAAAAAATATAGCAAACCCTGCCTTAAGGCCCTTATCAACTGCAAAAGTGGTAACAATATTAGTTGTTAATGTTAATGCCATTGCAAAGATCTTGTGTAAGGGGATACAAATATATAAACAAAGAAACAGTTCAATGCAGGATGACAGAAGATTTATTGGCAAACATGCTTTACAAACGTTGCACATTAAAATAAATCAAACATAAATGTGAACAATTGTATTTAAAAGGGTAGCTTCGTGGCAGAATGTCACATATGCTTTGGAGAATTACTATCCAGATTCTTTGAGCACTGAAATATATATAGGGTATGTTTTGTGCTGTCACTTCATGTACAACTTTTCACCATGGAGTGGTCAAAATCTTGCTTCTTTTGCATGCAAAAACCCTTTGTAGCTGCTGAAATGCCCCCAAAATTGAACTTGTAACTTAAAATAAACCAGATGACTTGACTCAAACAAACCAAACATGACTCACTTCAGGTAGGAGCAAACAACAAAGCTAAAATATCAATCTGCGATACCCTGATTTCACTCTTATAATTTATTATTACATACTTAATTTTTTAATGGCATTGAATGTATATTAGCCTAGTTAAGGTAAAACATGATTTTTCATCAGGATAAAGACAAAGCCTCACAGCCAAATTGATAATAGTCATAAAATGCTAAGAAAAAAATCATTAAAGAACTTTGGCTCTTGTTACACCTTTTCAATTTCAGATATTCAGACACTGTTGCACATATCCTGAAAACACACAGCGTCAAGTTGTGTCATCATAGGGCAAATGTGTCTAACTATTTTTATTTTTTGGAAGAACGAGGATCTATATACGGTAGACATGTTGTAATGACGGACAAGGGAGATTTAATAGCATCATTATTTTTGTTGGAGAAGCCCATTTTCAGCTTCCGGCACATTAACAAACACTCAAACACATCCCCCACAGACACACACATACATACACATACACTGGTTTGGATAATTAAAAATCTCCAAAAGTTCACATAAAGTCATCTGTGCTGAGATAAATGTGTTCATTTAAATTCATGAGTAGGAAGCATTTAGAAGGTTGTGTTACTGTTGAGCTGGAAAATGTCAAATTAATGAAGACAGATTTGTCTTAGGCTCCCTGTAATCTGAAACAATTGAAAGAAACACTTCACCCAGAAAACGAAACGCTGTATGACTTCCTTTCTTCTGTGGAACACAAAAGCAGAAATTTTGTACAAAATTAGTGCGTGCTGAATGGATACAAAGGCAAAACAATATCACCAAATTGCCTTTTTATTTTATTTCATGTTTATTATGGGTAATTATAAGAAATAAAGCCACAATTTCAGTTTTAATTAATCGATTTCTAGTTCTTGAATGGGCTGTCAACTGCTAAGAACAACTAGATTACTGAACATTTTGTTTTAGTTTTCATGGCAATGTATGAATAATGTCATGGTAATTTATATCCAACTTCAGTTTTTTTCCCACCCAATTTTAATCACAGTGTTCCTGCAGGTCTTAGAAAGTTAAATTTAAGACCTTTTAAGGCATTTTTAAGACCATTGTGAGTGCAATTTTAAACTTTTACAGGGCTAAATGCTAAGGATTTTGTTCGAATATGCCAGTTGGAAAAGAATTTCACTTGTCCTATCAAAAATGTATTATAATTTAATACATTTAATAATAAAATAATAATAATTTAATAATAAAAAAATCTAAGTCAGTATCCTCAGCATTACATAAAGAGAATTTTTAAACAAATGTTACTGTAAGGAAAGTATATAAATGCTATATTTTTAAATGAAAAAAAATTGTTGAGATGGATTGTTGATGATTGTATCGGTGTTAATAGATTGTGTAGCTATACATGAACAAAGGAAAATTAAGACCTGTTAACAAAAGATTTAAGACATACAGCACCATATTTCAGTAGATTTAAGGCCTAAAATTTTTCTTTTGAGATTTAAGACATTAAGACTTTAGACCCTGTGGACCCTAAAACAACAACCGTAACTTAAATATTTACAAAATTGGTTTAAAACACAAATGTACAGTTAAAAAAAAGCTACATGGCCTCCTCAAAGCAAGTATAAATTAATATTCATTATGAATATACTGGACTGTATAAACCCATGGCACTTTTTGATCTAGTGTTTTTGCTGCTTTCATTTGTTCTTATCAGGAGGTTTCCTATACATTTGCTAAGTTATGCTTGAAGGGCAGTAAATATGCATGGTAAAAAAAAAACATTATTTTATAGTTTTTTTCCAACAGCAAAAGTAAAATGACGGCTGATAAATTACAGATATTTACTGTAAAATATCAGCAGTTGAATTACAGACATTTACCATAAAATAACAGATGGTAAATTACAGAAATTTACCGGAAATATCTGTTATTTAACGTCTGTTATTTTATGGTAAATGTTTGTAATTTAAAGCCGTTATTTTATGGTAAATGTCTGTAATTCAATGGCCATTATATTTGGTAAGTCTCTGTGATTTAAAGGCCATTATTTTACTGTAAATGTCTAATTTAATGACCGTTAATTTACAGTCAATGTCAGTAATTTTACGGCCTTTTATGTTACAGTAAATGTCTGTAATTTAACTGCGGTTATTTTAATGTAAATATCTAATTTGACAGCCGTTATTACAATAAATAGCTGTAATTTCACATCCTTTATTTTACAGTAATTTAACAACCGTTATTTCACAGTAAATGTCTGTAATTTTACGGCTGTTATTTTACAGTAAATGGCTTTAATTTAACGGCCATTATTTTACTTTTTTAAAGCAAAATAATGGATTTATTTTTACAGTGTGTCTTAAAATAAAAGAATTTCGAAATATAATTGAAAAATTCCCTTTTGTTTGCCACAGAAGTTATAAATGCAATACAGGCTGCAGAAAGACATTTTGGGTGAATTATCTCTTTCATAGGTCCAACATTCCAACAATCGATTCTAAAATAAAAATGAAAAGAAAACATATAAATAAAAATTAAATAAAATTGAACAATTCATAAAAGATCGAACATCATTGGCACATTTGATCGAGCACAACATCTACATTTACCTTTAAGTTAATGCACTAGAAATCCTCGCAAAAAAAAATCCCATTAAACTCTTGCTTTTTGCAACTATGCATATTAAACGGTGCATGCCGCCTTCATACCATCACTAAAATATCAAAGCATGGGCTAAAAGTGTAAAGAAATCCAGGGAACACAGATGGCAAATTACAATAAGTGTAACAGATATGCTTATGCAATTGCTTGGAGTGGAGAGGAACACTGCATTATAGTGATTTATCATCATCAGCATTTGCTATGGCTTGAGTTCTCTATTCCGATAACAGGAAATAACAGCAAAAAAAACTGAAGCACCAACATATTCTCTTTACAACTATCATATGGATACATAAATAAATGCAATTATATTCCTCCATTTATAGGTGAAACACACCAAATGGATTTTACTATAGTTACTTAGTATATACAGACACGTTATGCGGTAATGTACAATTCTTTACATTGTTGAAGCATTCTTTCCTGTTTGGTTCGGTTTTTCAAGTGCTCAGAAAGTAAAGCTTGCATTAGCTTTTCGGCAAATGCGCTCTGGAGCAGCCGCACATACTTTAAGCTGCTGATGCTTAACAAGTCTTAATCATTTGCCATTTTAAAACTCGGATGGCGCTGGGTTTATCAGCTTTTCGTTTGGCAAAACTGACCCCGCATGCAAAAAAAAAAAGTTTCTGTAAATACTGTCTCAGATTAAGCCCTAACTAACAGTCCTCCCAAAGTGTCCTATAGTTGCAAAGTGTTTAACAGTAGCAGCATGACAGCAAGGCACGGGACGAATGTGCTGTCCACCGAATCCATTTCTAAACTACTTTAAAGCTGCTTCGTCTCAGTCTATCTGATTTCCAGATTTAGATTCTTGTGCTTTCAGGAGGTTGCTTTGTGGGGCGTGTAACAGGTGTAAATCTTGACGCGAGGGCTTGTGCATGTCTACTTGATTCACAGTGTAACAGAGAGAGAAAAAAAAAAAGTGTAGTCCCCTATAGAGTCCCCTATAAATGGAGTTTACAAAATCCAGCGACATCCATTTTTGGAAGTGTTGGATGTTGACTTGATAACTTTTGCACACTATTTCCTCCTCGCTAATGCAGGAAACCTGAGTTTATCAGCGCGTGTTACGTCCTGCGAACGACGTTCATCTCTGAAGCTCTTCGATTTTTAGTTAGCTACAGTTGGAAGCGAGTTGGAGTTCTGCTGCAGCTTGTTTTGCAGGCCGGCAAATGGCGTTTGAGCACATTATGGACATCTATGGCGAGTGTTGCTGTGCAAAAAACGTGGCTATGGAAGCTTGCGCCTGTTTAGGTCTGTAATGCAGGACTGTGATGACAAGACTGTAAGCATGTCTCTGTTGCCTTCGGAGCAAGAGCGGTGAAGGTGATTTTGCGGAGGCTCTTAGTCCTGCAGCAGGGTCTCTCTCCAGTTAAAGCTGTGGTTGGGTCCGTGGGTGAGCGGCAGGATGGGCGGATCCACCAGCTGCCAAACGCCCGTCTCGCCCATCTCCTCACAAGCGCAAAAGCCTAAATAAGGGATCTAGGAGAGAGAAATTAATGAATGGTATTCAATCAAATATCAATATTGTACTTTCTCTTTCTCTCTCTAGTGTAATATAAAAGACATGCTGATTTTCATGCACAATATTGATATAGTGGGCACTTAAAATACTGTGAATAATTTCCTATTATCAATTATTTCATATTATAGTGCCTTTTTAGAGTTTTCAGATTGTTGTATTTAAAGGGAAAATATTACCCCTTTTTCAAGATTTTAGATAAGTCTTTTCTGTCTCCAGAATGTGTCTGTAAAGTTTCAGCTCAAAATACTATAAGATTATTAATTAAACCTTTCATAATATTGGAATTTTCTGCTCTGAGCATCTTGTAGCTGTTTTTGTTGCCTGTGCCTTTAATGCTAGTCCTCCCCGCCCACCGCTCCCTCGTGCCTGTCAGAGTGTGCCCTAATCTCCAACACGGCTGCGTCACATAAACTGCACAGAGACAGACATGAAGGAAGCAGATTTCACATAACGTTTATGAGAAAAACTACAGTTAATTCAAGCCTTTCTGCGTCGATGAGTCACACACAATGTGTTAGAAAGTGTGATGATCATAGAGAGCTGAACAGATCTTTTAATCCCAGTTGCTTTACGCACGTCCTGTCTAGTTGATATGATTATACGCATTACTATGGAGATGCTATCTATCAATTCGGTGGGCGGGGAAACCGCACTCCTAAATCACGTTGCAGTGGGCCACAAAATGGGAGGGATTTGGATCCTATTTTAACATCAGGTAAATTAAAAAAAGAGACTTATTGTCTTATTGTATATATTATCACCCCAATATGAGTGTGGACAAACTGTACCTGCACACAGTTCTGTCCAAACAACTTACAAAAGTTTTCATCATGGGTGCCCTTTACACTCGTTTTTCATAACAGCACCGAATGCCTGAAGACTTACTGTAAAAGGTAATTTACTTCCAAACGTTAACATTTTCACATGTTAATCTGGCCCATGACATTGAGAATTATGTGACCCTTTTGTTCCCTTTTGTTCATTAACTGTACAGTTAATGATATTAAATATTGACATTGCAATCAAGTTAATGTACTAAAGTCATATATTAGTTAATAACTAATACAGTTCTGCTGTATTATTTATTAACTTTAGCATTTATCTACAATATGGCTATTTCTCACAGTTGAATTAAATGCATTAACTAACGTGAGACTAAATTGTATAGTGTTACATACAGTGCTCAGTACACTCCTCACAAATCTCTCATTTAAATTAATATTTTCTATAGGAAGCTTTACAATTTTATATTTGTGCATATACATTAGACTATTCAGTACCATAGTCAAATCTGGAGCTTATCTGACAAAAAAAAGTCCAAAATTAGTACACCAAAATGCATAGGTTAAAAAAATATTAAATACATTTTTTAAAAAGAGCAAAATGAGAACCAAAAAAATAAATAAAATGTTGTAGTTTGTAATTTATTTATCCAATATTTTGCATAAATTTATATTTATAAATTTCTATTTCTAAAGATGTTTGGCGACTAAAATATTACATTACTAAATATATCGGTTTAATAAGTCTGTTTTGTTTAAAGGCACTAATATATATTACCCATATTCACTGAGAAATGGATAAAAATAATAATTTTCTAAATGGGGTGTGCTTAATTATGCTGAGCACTGTATTCTACTTTATTATCCTTTTGCTATTTAATTAATAGGAAATATTTACTCTGAACATGTAAATACAAAAAAAGCAATTCACTAGTCTCTTTTGTTATTTTACCTGATAGCAGTAATATTTTTACTTACTATATATAGTGATAAATGCTTTAAAAAATAACCAAGAAAATGTATTACCGACAGAAGCCTAATATATATGGCTGTATCTATTTAGTCAAAATTGGGTTCGTTTTGTTACACAGACTTGGCAACCCTACTCTAAATTCAAGTAATTTTGTAATTGTTTAAACATCATCTGTATTTGACTAATATTTTTGTCTGTCTGTATTTAAATTTTATACGCTCACATTCCTAAAAAATTTAAATGAAACATTTATTTAAAAATGCACTATTGTTCTTACCTTTCTGACCACTTGCACAAAGTCTTTAGAGTTTTGTGGGGTCAGTCCCTGTATCTGCCTTGTACAAGCCTCCAGAGAGGAAGCATGGGCCACAATCAGCACTGTATTTCCTGTTTGACATCAGAACAACAGTTTATAAAAAACAGAGAGCTTCGCAAAGCATACAACATTCAGATGAGCATAGATTTAGATAACAAATCTGCAAAAGTACCCACACCGATGACCTACCCAGATTATTGCACTCCGACAGTATTTCACGAGTCACTTGGAAGCTGCGACTGATGTAAGTTTCATAAGATTCAGACACAGTCAGTTTACTGATGGGTATATGAGGTCTGGAGAGGAACAAGACAACTTGATAATAAATAAAATGTCCATTTAATGCAGGAAGTTGCTTAGGAAAACAAATGTAGACAACCGATAACACTATCAATAAGCAAAAGTACAATCAAATATTGTAGCAAAAAAGGATATATAGCACAGGGAATGTATAATAACATACCTGTATGTTGTATCCACACTAAGGTTAGCAGCTGCCAGATCTGTAGGAGGAATCCAGGCAGGTAATGAGGTACCCGACACCCATTTAGTCCACTCAAACAAACCTGGCTCAACTCTGATCTTAGTCTTGCCATCCTTCTGAAGACCTAAGACAGAAAGTCCATGATTTATAAAGAAGCATGGGCAGAAACTGCTTTAGCGGTGAACTCTGCCATGGTTAATGAAGTACAAATTAATTCCTGAAGGAATAAAAAGAAAGATGAAAGAATAAAGGTTTTTTACCTCTGAGGATATTATGTGCTGTTTGCACACAGCGCAGAGATGGAGAACAGTATACAAAGTCCACCACTGTGTGACTTTCAAAAAGAGCCTCCCCTGAAATGCATAGCACACATTAAGTAAATACAAGTTTGTTGGCAATTTGAAAATAAATTTAGCTCTAAATTCATATTTAACAGTGATGTGGGACTGACCGACTAGGCGAGCCTGTGTGGATCCAAACACAGTGATAGGACAGTCTTTATCATAGTCTCTATACCCACCACTCCTCGCTGGGAGACTCAGAGGCATATTGAGGTTTGACCGCACATATCGACCTGCTCAATAAACAAAACAAGAACACTCATTTATAACTATTAAACATTAACAGGGTTCTCAAAATGAATGTTCATGACTTCCTTATTTTTACTTTCATTTTATCGACTTACTTTATTAGGTATACAGTTGTGCTCGAGAGTTTACATACTCCTTGAAGTATACGTTGAAAAGTTAATATTTTTTACTAAATGAGAGAGATCTAACAAACTGTATGTCATTTTTTTTATTTAATGTTGTTCTCAGCAAGATATTTTTGCTTACATATAGCACAAAACAAAAACATAGCTAAAATTTTAAGCACAACTGTACATGTTTAACTGTGTATTAATGCAAAATATTTAATAATTTTAATTAGTTAATCACATGTCAACAACAATGTATTTAGACATGTAGATGTGGTCAAGACTAGGCATGGGCCGATATAAAATTCTGATGGTATGATAACCTTAGATATAAACATCACTGTTTCACGGTATCACAGTATGGAAACTACTGCCCTAAAATATGTTCTTTTTTAATTTCTGGGTAAAAAAAAAAAAAAAAAAAAAAATTTCCACTTTGTACAACACATATTTTAATTTGAGAAGCATTTTAATTATTTTGGAGCAGTAATCGAAATGAATTATAGACTTCTGCTTTCTTTATTTGTTTCAAAAACACAGTTTTTTTGTTTTTTTTTACAATTTCAAATGGAAACTTTTGGAGATCTTTTCTGTTGGAGATATTGCTGTCCTAAAAACAAATTCTTACTCATACCTTAGGAATGGTACAGTATAGCGGAAAATTTTGACGGTTTTAAAACCTTGAAATTTCCAAACCGCGATACACCTCGAATTGTTATCGTCCCATGCCTAGTCAAGATGACCTGCTGAAATTCAAAACAAGCATCAATATATGGGAGAAAGCTGACTTTGAATATGGCAAGGTTGCTAATGTCAGACAGGTTTGTCCGAGTACTTCAGAAACTGCTGTGCTACTAGAATTTTTACACACAACCATCTCTAGGGTTTACAGAGAATGGTCCGAAAGAGGGAAAACATCTAATAAGTAGCAGTTCTGAGTACTGGCTGATGCAAAAGGTGAAAAGGTAGATCAGTTTGGCCAGACTGGCTCCAGAACATGTCGAACCTTAAATCAGATGAGCTACAGCAGCAGATCCACTCCTGGCAGCTAACAATAGAAATTTGAGGCAACGATTCAAACATACTCATCAAAAATGGACAACATAAGACAGACAAAAGGTTGCCCAGTCTGATGAGTCTTTATTTTTGCTGTGATATTCAGATAGCATGGTCAGAATTTGGCTAAGGCTTTGTATCGAGGCTGCTGCTGGTAGTGATTTGCCAGTATTAGTATTGTTTTTCTGAGCATGTACATCCCATTATGATCTACTTATGTCCTCTTATGGCTACTACTATTAGAAAAACACTACATCACGAAGCTCAAATGATCAAATTTGTTATTATAACTGCATTCTTGAACATGGTATGGAGTTCACTAAATTCCTATGTCCTCCACAGCTACCATATCTCAATCCACTATAGCAGTGTTTCTCAACCACATTCCTGGAGGCCCACTAGCACTTCATGTTTTGGATGTCTCCTGTGTCTGTCACACCCATTGCAGGTCTTTCAGTCTCTGCTAATGAGCTGATGATCTGAATCAGGCTGTTCAGTTAAGGAGACATGGAAAATGTGCAGAGCTGGTGGTCCTTCAGGAAAGTGGTTGAGAAACACTGCACTAGAGCACCTTTGTGAAGGTCTAGAAAAGGAGATTCATATCATCATGTGCAGCCACCAACTGCATCATGCTATCATGTAAATATGGATCAAATTATCAGCAGGATATTTCCAGCTACAAAGAATTAAGGCATTCTGAAAGCAATGTGAGGTCCAAACTGCAACCTAGCAGGACCTAATAAAGAGGCCAGTGAGTGTACAGTTGAAGAAATTCCTCAGAGCTAAATATAAAGATTCACTTTTAAAACTTTTATTGGTCATGGGAAGAAGTTAAAGAACTGATTTGAAAAGCTGAACTCAGACCTTTGGCATCAAAGCACTGAGTGATCCAATGTTTCCCAAACACTACATCCATTCTTTCACCATGGCGACACACAAACAGAGTCCTCTTAGGCAACAGAGACTGATTGGGGCGCAGCATCTATAACGAATCAGAAATAATAGCTTGAATAAAAGCACACATGAAAACTCACAATAAGACAGCATTTCTCCTTAAGTGTTCTACCTGCATAGGCTGACATATCACACTAAGATTGGGGGAATCCAGCGGCATAGGGTCATCAAAAAGACGACCGTCCAAGTGCTGGTCAAGAAAAAGCCCACCCATTGCACCCCTAATATTGGTTGGGGGGGTTCCATTAAGGAAAGAGAATGACCTGAAAAAGTTGATCGACATTAGTTAAGAGTAAACATTTCAGTAAATGCTTTCATCATGCTGTCACTACTGCCAGGGATGGGCAGCATTTATGACACAAGTATTTTAAATACTTATTTTAAATACAAAATAGTATTTTGCGTTTATATTTCATAGGGTTTATAAAAATGATTTATTATTTTGTATCAAAATACTTAAGGGTCTTGTATTTTATTATTCATAAAATACTGTAAAATACTTTTTTTTTATAATTTTTTTAGGGGTTTTCACCTTTATTGATAGGACAGTGGAGATGTAGAGACAGGAAAGTGTGGGGAGCAGAGACAGGGGAAGGATCAGCAAAGGACCTCGAGACGGAAACCGAACTCGGATCGCTACGAACACCTCGGTACTATGTGTCGACGCACTAACCACTAGGCTATTGGCACCGAATAATGTAAAATACTTTGTAAGAAGTCTACACACGATGACATCTTAAAAATGTGGCCCCAGATTCTTGCCTTCTCAGTTATTTGCCTAAGCTTGAGGTCAGAACAGAAAATTGATTACGAAGGTGATCAATGCTTGTATCGTGGATGAAAGTTATGCATTTTTGCTTAAGAAATTAGATGGAATAAAATATCAGTCCTTAAGAACATGTGGAGCCTTCAGCACATAATCAATCATTCTCAGTCTCAGTGCTGCGAGTGGACATTCAGATGAACTTTAGAATAATAAGACAGCTAAAGATGGTGTACTGGTGTTCCCTAAGGGGTAAACGGAGACTTTTCCAGGTAAAGGAGAACTGAAAGACCTTCGGAGAATGAGTAAACTGCACATATAATAGTGGTTTTGGATTTGGAATTGCTGATGTAGATGCCAATAAAATAAGACAAACAACATAAAAACAAGTCCTACAGTGGCGCACTTAAATTTGCTCTGAAAAAAAAGCTGTTGTTACCAAACAATATTTACTTGAAGTCAGTTTAACAGTGAAGAGATTGATTGAATATGCCTATTGATAAAAAAAAGTTTTTTGAAGAAATGATATACTCTCATCTAAAAATATTTTGTAGTATTTTATTTTGATACTGCTGTATTTAATAGTTTGTTTTGGTACATGAAAAATTGAGGTATTAAGTATTTTATTTAAAAATACATTTCCAAGTATTTTTGCCCATCCCTGACTACAGACTCATGACAACTCGACACCACACTAACTATCTAATGTTTAAAGTAAGATTTTCAAATGTTTCTGAAAGTACCTTCTTTTGCTTACTGAGCCACCTGTCAAAAATACATTAGTCAAAATAGTTCAAGTATATATTTACTTTCATATTATATTCCTTAGGGGTGACGCAGTGGCGCAGTAGGTAGTGCTGTCGCCTCACAGCAAGAAGGTTGCAGGGTCGCTGGTTTGAACCTTGGCTCAGTTAGGGTTTCTGTGTGGAGTTTTCATGTTCTCCCTGCGTTCGCGTGGGTTTCCTCCGGTTTCCCCCACAGTCCAAAGACATGCGGTAAAGGTAAATTGGGTAGGCTAAAATGTTCGTAGAGTATGTGTGTGTGTACATGTTTTTGTGACATATCAGGACACAAATCTGTATAATGACATGGGTATGACACCGGTATTACAAAAAGGAGGTGAAATATGAGGACATTGGTGACGTCCTCATTTCTTAAAATGCTTATAAATCCTACAGAATGAGTTTAATCAGAGTAAAGCTGCACACAGTCTCCTGTGATGGTTGGGTTTAGGGGTGGGGTGAGGGCAATATATTATACGGTTTGGACAGTATAAAATGAATGGAAAACTATGTAATGTCCCCAATTTTCACAAAAACAAACGTGTGTGTGTGTTTGTTTCCCAGAGATGGGTTGCTGAAGCACGTAAAAACGTGCTGAATAAGTTGGTTGTTCATTCCGCTGTGGCGACCCTGGAGTAAAAGAGGGACTAAGCTGACAAGAAAATGAATAAATGAATATTCCTTAAAACGTAGCTAAGGCTACATTCACACTGCAGCCAAATGGGGCCCGAATCTGGCTTTTTCCTCATGCGACTCAGGTGATGACAGTGTGAACAGCCCAAACCGCATGGAATCTAATCTTTTTCTTCAGATTTTTAACATTTTCATATGTAGTCTTAAATCAGACATGGATCTGATGTTTAGAAATGCGACCACAGTGTAAACGGTTATGTCGGATTTCATGTGACTTTTATATAATTTTTGAGCGACATGCGTCATCGGTTTGTGCTGCAGACATCATTTTCTCCTCAGCAGCAAAGTAGAATGGCACACAGGGCAATCTTCTGTAGAATCACAAACATTTTCACAATTCATTCATTTTCTTTTCGGTTAGTCCCTTTATTACTCTGGGGTTGCCACATTGGAATGAACCACCAACTTATCCAGTATATGTTTTACGCTGCAGATGCCCTTCTAGCTGCAACCCATCACTGGGAAACATACATACACTATGGACAATTTAAGCTTACCCAATTCACCTATACTGCATGTCTTTGGACTTGTGGGGGAAACCGGAGCACCTGCTGGAAACCCAACGTGAACACGGGGGAACATTCAAACTCTACACAAATGCCATCTGACCATGCTGAGGCTCGAAATAGCGACCTTCTTGCTGTGAGGCAATTGTGCTACCCACTGTGCCAACGTGACGCCCCATTTTCACAATCATTCATAATGTATATTAAGCAATATATCCGATCATAAAAAAACTTGAACAGTAATGAACAACTAGCTTTAGTTCTTTCATGGTTCATCTTACCCATGAGATACCCAAGTGTCACACTCATCTGCCCTATTGACGTAGTTCTCTGGCAGTAGCCCAGATAACCCTGTGCTCATAGAGGTCCCGTAGACCCAGCCCTCACTGGCAGTGGTCTGCTCTATAGACGACATGAAGATGAAGTCACCGGGCACCAGCTCCAGTTCATCATCATTCTGAGGCACATAGGGGTACATTACCCGCAGGGTCTTCAAACACACAGATATGAAAACATTAATCTTCCAGCATTATCAACAGAAGAATTTGAATCAAATGTATCTGTGATAAACTCATGAAGTGTGTCTCTATCTCTCTATGGTTAATTGTACACACTCTGTTAACCATATGAAACTTTGTATTTAAATGTCAGCTAAGAGAATAAGAAGATTGTTAGGTTAAATTTAGTAAAATAAAATGACATTTACATCCAGACTTTTGGAGGATTGTCAAAATAATGTGTTATCAGATATTAAGCAGATCTACTGATACTCTAATGACTGCTGCTTGTCAACTAATTGCCCAGTTACTTATAATCTCTAACCAAAATAAAGCATCACCCTTTATTAAGAAGGTCTCCTCATTCACATGGATGACGTGGCGGCAGCCAAATTGTGCCAAACTCCACACATCAGTTAATTGGTGGAGAGGAGACAGAGTGATGATTATTTATTTATTTATTTATTTTTTAACTTCCCAGGTTCTGAAGGTTGCAATATCTGGAATTGCATCTTTAGCCAATCGTAATGGAGTGTTTTGGTTCAATTTGGAATTTCCGGGGGACCAGAGTGAGTGCTCCGACTTGGCCCCCTGAATTACTGAAATGATTTAATCATTTATAATTTATATTGGAATGAAAACATCTAAGTTACATCATTAATAAACAGTAGTATTGTTGTATATTTTGAACAATATTTGGGTATTACTTTATACTATGCATTTATCTCAGTAATTATACGACTTGGGTAATAACTAGATACTAACCCTGAATCTACCTCTAAATCGAACCTTAACCCATGACACTACTTTATTTTAACAGTACTTTCTTAGGTAAATATATTGTAAATTAATGTACGTACAACCAAAAAATGTCACATGATTGATGTGTGCTTTTCTATTTATTAAAGCTCATAAATTGCACTATGGATCTCTCACTTTTACTTGTTAATAAGTAAATGCTAAAACCCTTGACTCTATCAGACAGTGTTTCTCAACCACGTTCCTGGAGGACCACCAGCTCTACACATTTCGTGTCTCCTTAACCAAACACACCTGATTTAGATCATCAGCTCATTAGCAGAGACTGAAAGACCTATAATGGCTGTTGACGGACTAAGGAGACCTCCAAAACATGTAGTGTTGGTGGTCCTCCAGAAATGTGGTTGAGAAACACAGCTACAGGAAGTTATCAAAATAAATAATGGATGACAACAATTAGACCACCTCATGATTGGCGAATCGGATGTCCCGTGAGAGGAGCACAGTCTGCCAGTCACAGCCCAGAGTTATGTCTACACCTTTGGCAAGTTTTTCTAAAGATGCAAGATGATTGGATTGGAAGTGGTAGGCCAGGGTTACATGGAGCTGCTTCTTATGGGGCTCCACGTGAACATCTACATAGAAAAAGAAATGATGTTACATTGAACAAACTCTTCGGCAATACAAGACAGATTTTCTTTCGTGTCTATAAAGCGCACTGAGATTTTAATTGAATTGCAAGAGGTAAGAAGGATGCTTGAAGACTATTGCTCCACCGTGTCATCATTATTTACAGGGAGTCATGCCAATAACAAACACACACACACACACACCTGCTTTGGAAGCTGCTTCAGTAGCAAAGTCTGCAGCGAAGCTCTTAATCACCTCAGCCACCTTTTCTTCCACAAAGAGGCCAATGAAGTTTGAGGATGAGTAGAACTCCAGGGGGAGCGGGGAGGGGAAACGGCCTTTCCAGTTGCCCACCACAGTCTGCAGAGCTTCACCCAGAGCATCCACTTTACCATCTGCACACTACAGGTACAGGAGACAGACACAGTCCTACAGTCATGCAACATAACATAAAGGGCTTTTACAGTACACAGGGTAGTTACAAGAACACCAGGCCTAGTTCCCGGAGAACAATTTCCCCATTTTCCTGGTTGCGTTTAGATCATTGCTAAATGTGAAGTGATCTAAGCAAACCAACAGTGACTTAAAGGGCTGCGATCAACAAAATTAACAACTGGAGGATGTAGAAGGCATCTCATCAAACTGATTTCAGACCGATTACGAAGACAACATAATTTGATCATGTACAACTAAATAGAAAAAGCTATGGTGAATTTTTAAGGGAATATTTGCTTACTACAATATTCATTTCTTCTTAGAAATGCCAATAAAAGTAGAAAATGTTGGTCTAAAATTTACAAAAATTACAACTGGGTAGGCGTTTTTTTTTTTTTAATGAAATGAACAGAATTGTGGAAAATTGAGGGCAGCAAAGAACAAATCTAAGCTGCCTCGGTAGCTACCAAGACTCGAAGTAAAGATGAATTTGGATTTTGATGTCTCTTGAAGTCCCTGGCTTAGAACGCTGGCTTCATTTTAGAGCTTTCAGATGCAGCTATTATGTGTTGTGTCATTTGTTTCATGATAACTGAAATGGAAGAGTGATGCTAACAGCTAGTGATGCGACTGATAAAACAGTAAGGGGGACATGGGGTGCTTTCATAGTAGCACTTTTGGTCCGCACTCAGGTTTGTTTGACGTCAGACAACGGTAGGTTTAGCTAGTGTGAACGTGTCTTCTGAACTCTGGTGCACACCCACGAACCGTACCAGAGTCCACCTGAAAGATGTGGTCTAGGGAACAGTTCACGCAAACTCTGCTCCGGTTCACTTCTGGTATGAATGCAATAGTGCCAAATAGCAGAAGTGAACCGTCAAGTGTACATCAAACTATCATTTTCATAACGTTCATTCATGTATGTGTGTATGTCTGTATATCACGTACTGTACCTTGCAGACAAGCGGTTTTGAGCCAGGGCAGTCACAGTGATAATAATGTCTGCTTGCGTCCTCCAAACACAGCTTCTGCAGACATCACGTGATGTTCTGAATTTTTATAACATTTTTGCGGCAGATGGATGCGAGTCGCTTTCTGTATGTCCAAAATCAAAAGGTTCAGGAAAAGCGAAATGACCGTGATGTGCGTGTGTGTATTCCACACGTGAATTCTACACATCACCCCTAATCCGGTTAACATTGGAGCAGCCATCGGCTGAAGAAAGCGCTCTGACCGGTTATTCAGCAACAAATCAGATCGGATGAGAGCATGTGTGTGACATCGTGAAGGTACATAACAAGCAAGTATTTAAAGCCACGAAAGTTCAGAAAGAGGCTGGCTATAATTTTGCTACATTTCTCAAAAAATTGCAAATGATATGGAATATTATATTATCAGACATATTAGCAAGAGTGAATCCTTCGGATGTGAGTGACACCTACTGTAATAATGGTACTACAATGCTGCTTTGTTTGTTTTGTTTGTCCATGTTGAAAGTTTGATTTACTTTTTGCAAGATGAGAAAACTGCCCACACATAGCAGAAAGACACATCCTCTTGCACAGGTGCAGAACATGGCTCTTGTTTCAGTCAGCTTTTGTCTCTTTGGGATGTTCAAGCATTTTAGTACATGTTACTTATGCATATATTTTTTTTAAATTAGTCCAGTGTTTTGTTTGCATTTGTATTTATGAATAAATTATGTAGCACCGTTGTCTTGTGAGACACCTCTGTATGTCCACACATGTAGCGGAATGACAATAAAGCTTGACTTGACTTGAACACAGTTGGGTTTCATTTTCTGCTAATTGTTTGGCATCAGCTTGATGTGTCCCGGCCCTTACAGAGCCGTGATTAACATTCTCCAAAGCTTCTCTTATGTTTAACAGCTAAAATAGATTTATACAGCTTTGGAACAAGACAAGAATGATAAAAAGTTGACAGAAATTCAATCTGTGAACTATCCCACATACCACTGAAGAACAGTGCTAATACAGACACATATTTGACTGAATATGTTGATAAAGCGCTCTAACCATGAAGAACTGGCAGAGGGTAATGTGAGGGAAGATGTTGTGGGCTTTGTTCTTGCCGCATGTGATGCGACTCTGCTGCCAGAAGTTGGAGAGCTGGTTAAGGAGAGGACCGCTGGGCTTCAGGTAAAGCACATACTCCCTGGGCAGAGGATCATCCAGAAACGGATCATCCACATGGGAGAACAACCTGCGGAAACAGTCAATTATGTCATGTCTGATGCTTTGCCAAGATATTATGAAAAGATGTGCAGCAGTTTCACTTTTGGTTAAAGCAAGGCACTGCAGACTATCGCCCAATCCCAATCAGAGTTGGGTGTAACTGGATAACAGTAACATGTTACTGTAGAACTCATAACATTTTTGTGGAAAGCAGTAATGTAACAAATGACACTTCACATGTATGTAATTTGATTACAGTTGCAAAAGTCAATGTAATTGCGTTACAAATATAATATTAAGAAAAATCAAATGCTTCTTTTAAATTTTCTGTTGCAGCATCAGTTAATCATGCGCTTTAAAATTGTTGGAGAACGCAAGATGAAAAAAGTTGCTGTTGAGAGAGGTTGCTTCTTTAGGTGGAAATACTGACATTAGTTTGATTTCATTGAGCGTAAAAACTAAAATCTTGTTGTGAAAGTCAGTCTATGTCCAGTCTAAAAACTGTCGACTGCTTTTAACTCGAATTTTGGAAAAAGTGAATAATGAGAGAATTAAGTTGAGCGAACTATCTCTTTAGCTCTTTTGAACATGTAAAGCTGCTGTGATCAACCCATTGTAATGTTTTTCAGAGAATATTAAATTATCAAAAGAGCTGCAGTATATTTTGTATTTTCAAAGGTATATTTTATATGTTTTAAAAGCAACTTCAAAGTAAAGTAATTATTAATTTGATTACTTTTTACATGAAGTAATCAGATTACAATTTGAGTAATATTCAGTCATTTGTAATCAATTACTTTTTAAATGTAACCCAACACTGATCCCAATTAAATTTTTTACCCATACCCCTTCAAATTTAATCCCTAGGAAATGGGACACCACAACAGCACCTACACGTCATCATAGGTCATCATTGCAATCTCTTACTTCATATGGGATCGATGATGACGACGGCTGTAGTTATACCAGTTGCGTTATTTTTTATTTTTTATTTTTCAGGAAATCACTGAAGGCAACAATATCATGTTATCATAATGATATAATGTGGCAATAAGATCATAACTATACTGTGCATATACACAGTTTCCATATTCATCCATGTAAACACACTAATAAAACATAAACATCATAGCGGACACTGTGAAAAAGCTCATTCCCAGCCACAAGACTTTTCTGACAGGGTATTCGAATGTCATCGAGTGACAGAATGATGTGGGACTACTGTACAGGAGTTATGATTATGCATTATAAATAGTGAAATTATCTAGCGTTTTTATTTTGGTGTTGTTGTTTTTTAAAGCATGGTGGTTTGTTCGTTGTAAAAATTTGTAATAGTGCAAAAATACTAATTTGTGGATCTCCTGACTTCCGTTTGCAGCCATTGGTGTATTCTGGGAAATGTTCATGCTCCTTGGTTTCGAGTGGGGTCCTGACACATCTCTGTTTCAAGGGCTATCTAGCCCTTCCCCTTAGCCCTACACCTTCAAATTGGGAATTGGTTAAGGAAAAGGGCTAAGGGGTAAAATTGGGATTGGGAAAATTTTGTGAAGTTTTTCCCCATGTACTAAGCCTTAAATCTCCACTTCAGCAGCACTTACAGCAGCAGTTTAACTCATTTATATTCTGAAGGTTATTCATGAGGGATATTTGATTCTACAAAGGTGTTTATTTCTGGCTAGAATTTTTTTCTAATTATGGAGTGATGAGAAAGAAAGATAACCTTCTTTAGAAACTTTTGACTCGAACGTTTCAACAACAAAAAATTAAAAAAAACTGTGACCTTAAAAGACCTAAAAAGTCAGGTTTAAAGTTTAAACCTGACTTAATCCAATGTTCAGATTTTTGTGCTAGAAATGTATGCAAATTAGTGCAGATTTACCTAAATAATTGATCACTAGCATATATAAGCATTTTGTATATGAAATGTTTTAAATACCAAATAATATTTTTTTTATGATAACTAATAGTTTGTTGGTTGTCTTTTACCCTTTTCAACTTCAGTGGAACTCAAGCACATATCTTTTTTTTTTATAGGAAGAGTTCTCCCAAAAATGAAAATTATTTTATCTCTAACATGCTTTACTTGATCCAAGCCTGTTTGGCTTTCTTTCCTCTCGAGAAAAGCTGACACTTCTATAGTGTCTGAATGCCAATGGTTACAAGTTTCCAGCTTCAAAATATCTTCTTTTGTGTTCAACAGAAGAAAGAAACCAATAAAGGCGTATAACCACTCAGTTAAATGTAATGATGTGTACATATTGGGAGCTTTTTCGTTTTGGAGTGTACCATCCCTTAAACAGATCAGCTGTAAACACATTTCCAATTCCCCACCGCCAGAGGGCAGCAGTAAACCATTACAACGTGAAGCTGATTTCATCTGTATAAGTGATCAGGTCTAATGTAATGATTCTAGAATAAAACGCATTACCATTTCAAAGCTCAGAGAGAGTGTGTGTGGCTCAGGGCACAACATGGTTCATGTGCATACGTGTCTGTGTGTGGGTGTGTGTGCACATGCAAAACTCACCAGTCACAGGCTGCTTGTACATTTCTGCCCCCAGTCGAAACCAGAGCTTTTAGCCTGTAACAGAGAGAGAGAGAGAGAGAGAGAGAGAGAGAGAGAGAGAGAGAGAGAGAGAGAGATAGAGAGAGAGAGAGAGAGAGAGAGAGAGAGAGAGAGAGAGAGAGAGAGAGAGAGAGAGAGAGAGAGAGAGAGAGAGAGAGAGAGAGAGATCAGCTCAATTGCTGTACTGGTCACAAAATCAATGGCCTTCTTTCCGGAGGATGTTTATCAGTACATTAGTGCTAAGGAGTTTTCTCAGAGATCTGATTTCTCAGAGATGTTCCTCAGTAGTCCACATCTCGGTTTAAGAATATATGGTTTATCGTGCATGAAATCACACTTATGCAGGCTAAGCAAGCTCTGTAATAAGAGTCTAGACCGTCTCCTGAACATCACTGGGAAAGCTGGATAATCACTTATTTATGGGCATTTATGAATATTAAAGAGGCTTACTTTTGCAGATTATTTTAAAGAGGGTCATATGAGCCAAAGCAACCTATAAGAGTTGAAGCATACACTGGGAGCAATAAAAGGATGAGTAATATTCCTCAAAAGTTTAGGTATTAGATATAGAGATCTTTATCGCACGAAGAAAGTACAATTATCTATAAATAGGAATATTTTTTATTATGTATACAATATGTATTTTAATAAATATAATATTTTTTAAATTTAATACAAAACAACAATAAAAAAAATTATGTGTGCCAAATTAGTTTACTGTCACCTATCATATTTATTTAAAAATATAAAAATAAAATATAAATAACAAAAAATAAAATACCTAAAAATCTAAAAATGTATTGACAAATTTATATTGATAAATACAAGAAGTAATTTTTTTAAAAGGGTACCTACAGAAATCGTAATGTTACAATAACTGAAAAAAATTCAATCTGTAATATTTTTCTTAAACACTTATTTAAAATAATAAATTTTTCTGATCAAGTCACATGAACGTTTTCTTACCATTTTGTCTAACACAAATAAACATTTGTAATTAAATAATAATAATAATAATAATATTTAATGTTTTTTTATTGTTTCATTGCAGATAAATGCAGGTTTGGTGAAGTGAACCTTTTTAAAAAAGCACACCGACCTAATTAAGTTTAAACGGTACATAATATACACTTAACTTAAAAAAATAACTCATTGGACAAAATCTATTTAAATTTAATAAATTTATTTAGCAACAGCTAAAAGACTATTTACACAATTAAATGCAATCGAGTCGATCCAACATGATTTTATCAAATAAAAGTTTATTTTATAGTTTTTATTTTTACTTAAACTCAAAGGTCTGATAATATCATGCATGTCTACTATGTGTTGAACATTTCAAAGTCTCTTAGTTTTATTTAAAGTTATCCTTAATGAACTAAAACAGCCATTTTAAGCATATTTCATGAGTTACAGTTGATTGAGACTGATCTCAGAATGCATTTTAGGACAGTTATTGCTCACTGAGCAAAGCAACAAACCAATTTTGTGTAAATTAAGCTGCCAACACCCGAAGCATGGGCGCTTTAGCAAGGTGGTAATCTCAAAACTCAAAGCATTACATAAAAATCTTCTAAATCTTCGAAATAAAGTGAAGATTAAACTCTTACAAGTCGCTTAAGTGAACTTATTGGTTTACAAATTTAAGTGGACCAAACATAAAACAAATAAATTGACCAAAGAAATGACAAGAATTGTGTTGTTGCATCTCATTTTAAATAAGCAGTTGAGACAAGCAGCAGTAATCTTTTTTTTTCTTTTTGAGTGTATGCTATATTTCAGGAGTGAAAGAAACACCCTCTAAATTTACCACCACTGCATTTCACAAATGTACACCCAGCCCGACTCATTTAGCAGGTGTCTGCCTTAAAAGATCAGTGTGGAAAATAATATCTCTTGGTCTGTGGTTTGAAAACTGTGATGAAAAAGGAAATGTCGCTGTCTCTCTCAGTTCATAAAACGCTCCCCACAGTCTCCTCTCTGTCTTGAGTTCTCCTTTTCTTCTTGCTTTTTCATCATACAGAACTCAAAGGCGTAATTAAAAGCTATCTGACACCTATACAGAACAATAATTTCACAAAGTCACAGTCAGACCCCCTTTTATTTGTGCAAGGCCTCTCTATTTCATGCGCACACACACACAGCTAGTAGAAGTCCATTATTGGTGGGGATAATTACATAATCTTCTCATGTGTAGGATGATAATATTTCCTCGGTTCAAATCTATACTGCAAAACGACATCTAATCCAATCTAAGGTCACGCTAAACGCACTATGTCATTTCCTCGTGTGTCAGCTGACATCTCGAAGGCTTTTTTTTTTCATGAGCCAATTAAATTATCCTCTAAATCTAATTAGTGTCTTTTTATAAAAGCTCTAAAAATCACACAGTCTGACTGACTCTCAGGGGAAACGGATCTGTCTGAAAACTTGCAGTCAAACTGAAAACGCAGCCTGAGGTTTGAAGAAAGCAGAAAAACAAACAAACTAAATTACAAAAAGCTGAGTTTGTTGATAAGTGATGAGTATTTAGTGGAAATACAAACTGCTGTGGAGACGCATTCAGTCTCACGTGACTGCCGACATTCAGTTTCCACTAGCTCAGGATCGGAAAAAGTGATTCACAAACTGATATAGGAAATACTACGAATGAACCAGAGTGACATTTGACTACGAGGCTATAGACGTGCTTTTCTCACACCTAACAAAAAAGGCAATGACAAGACACAAGAACAGAGAAGTCACACGTCAGAGATCAGGGAAATGCAGATTATGCGGATTGTTCAAAGTACAGGAAGCCTTTGCTGATCACACTACACTTATCAGACAATGTACTGTATCAAAGCATCACAAGCAAACAAACCTTAATGTTTACTGGATCCAATTCTGCTTGTTGTTGCAAATGTTAAAGAGTCTGCATCATAAAAGTATAATAAAGTATAAATAACAGTTGAAAAGTAGTAGGTATAGGACAATATGGTAATAAAACTATATAATAGGTTGTGTTTTTTTTTAATGTAATGTGATGACAAAACTGAGCATTTTTAAGGCTCTTTAATCCAGTCTTTAGTGTCGCATGATCTTACAGAAATCAGTCGATTCAATCCATTTTTTTACTCGTTTCAAATGTCAGAAACTTTGCCTCAAACTTTTAATACAAATAATTCATATACACAATATAAAAACACAAATATACATAAACATACTCTCACTGGCCATTATATTAGGTACACCTAACTAGTACAGGGTTAGACCCACTTTTACCTTCAGAACTGCATCAACACTCGTGGCATAGATTCAATAAGGTACTGGAAATTTTCCTTCGAGATTTTGATCCATATTGACATAATAGCATCACACAGATGCTGCAGAATCTCCCGTTCCACCACATGGCAAAAATGCTCTATTGGATTGAGATCTGGTAATTGTGGAGGCCATTTGTGAAACGTGAACTAATTGGCATGTTCAAGAAACCAGTCTGAGATGATTCACGCTTTATGACATGGTGTGGAAGCAGCCTTCAGAAGATGGGTACATTGTGGTAATAAAAGGATGGACATGAGGTACAATACTGAGGTAGGCTGTGGCGTTGGCACGATGCTCAATTGGTACTAGTGTGCCAAGAAAATATCCCCCATGCTATTACACCACCACCAGCAGCCTGAACCGTTGATACAAGGCAGGATGGATCCATGCTTTCATGTTGTTAACCCAAAATTCTGACTCTACCATCTGAATATTGCAGCAGAAATCGAGACTCATCAGACCAGGCAACATTTTTTCAATCTTCTTTTGTCCAATTTTAGAGAGCCTTTGGGAATTGTAGCCTCAGTTTCCTGTTCGTAGCTGACACAAGTGGCACCCCGGTGTGGTTTTCTGCTGCTGTAGCCCCTCCGCCTCACGGTTTGACATGTTGTGCATTCAGAGATGCTCTTCCGCATAGCTCAGTTGTAACAAGTGGTTATTTGAGTTATTGTTGCCTTTCTATCAGCTCGAACCAGTCTGGCCATTCCCCTGTGCCATCAACAAGGCATTTGTGCTCCCAGAATTGCCTCTCACTGGATATTTTCTCTTTTTCGCACCATGCTCTGTAAACCCTAGAGATGGCTGTGCATGAAAATCCCAGTAGATCAGCAGTTCACGAAAAACTCAGACTAGCTCGTCTGGCACCAACAACCATGCCACGTTCAAAGTCACTTAAATCCCCTTGCTTCCCCATTCTGATGCTCGATTTGAACTGCAGCAGATCATCTTGACCATGTCTGAAAAACCTAAATGCATTGACTTGCTGCCATGTGAGTGACTGATTAGAAAAATTGCGTAAACTAGCTGTTGGACAGGTGTACCTAATAAAGAGGCCGATGAGTGTATACGCATACATTTACATATACACACACATACACACATACAAAATTAGAGTAATGTTGAATGTCTAAATGTATGAGTGTTCGATTTTATTTATGATTATTCATATTTATTTTCACACTGCTACGATTAAATTACCCAATTCACCACTACACAAACGGCCCTGCAGTTTCTTCACAAGCCCGACCTTCACTTCAACAAAATAAATCAAATCATTTTGTGGTAGACAAGTGTAGCTCAGAACTTGTAATTTGCAATAGATACAGTACATATTTATCATATTTACATTTATACATCGTTTCATGTTCAGGATTATATTCATGCGTTACTTTTTCATGCATTTAGCATCCTTGGTTATATTTAAAAAAACTAAAATTACTGCAAAAGTCACCAGTGTATGCATTTTTGTGTGTAGTAATCCAGTTCACAGTCTACGCACAGCGCTCAATTACTCTATATTTAGTTAGGCTTCCCAGAGAATATGGTCATCAAGCCAGCTAGCCCTCAGGGCCCACAGCCACAAAGCATGCTGGGATGGGGAAGCCCATGATGCACGGCCATATGGCTATGAATGTATAAACATATATGCACAATTACCCCCAATAACACTGCAAAGATCCACACATGCCATGTATATATTCACAAGCTAA